TTACAAATAAAAATAATTTAACCACCCCACGTGTTGGCTGTTATACTCATTATACAACACCGGTAGGTACATGCTGAAATGTCTAATGGCGGCTGAAATGACCAAATATCACTCTCACTGTATAATATTATGATCTCCACTCGTATCACTTTCAACTATTTCCATTTGTTTTAATGTACCTACCCACTTATTTTTAAACCTATTCATAATAAAAATAAATGATTCGCGATCAACGATCGTACGATGAGCTTTGAGCGCCCAGTCAAATTAATAATCACATGTCTTGCACTCTTCCTGAGTACTTACCTAGGTACATTTATTAAGGATATGATTTTAAATATTCGTAACGCACATTGAAATAATAATTATATCTTAATCATATCTAATAATATTTATTTATTATTGTTTCAATATTATTTTAATTAGGTATATCTTTAAATTAACTGTAAAAAGAACATTTTCATCTAACTTGCATGACACATGTGTTACAAATATAAATAGGTATAACATATGCGTGCTTTTGGATTATTGGATTTATCACTAGGTAAACTATTCCATGACTTTACAAATGAAATATCATAGTTTATCTATAGATTTTTTAGTGAATATTATCTAATTTTAATACCTATTTGGTGATATTAGTACAATTCTTTATAACGATATAATATTATACGAGATTCTTATAGTACCTATAAATAATTATATATTATGCAGATTAAAAAAATTGAACAGTTAAAAATAATGACGTTCGTTATAGATATTTTAATCTTACATTAACCAATAATTTATTTTATAATTTGATTCATATTAATAATTGTTTTGTAATACGATACCCTATGCCCATATTATGATTTAAATTGATTTTACGAATGTAAAATGTAGAGAATCATATTAATATTTTATTTTATTTGTATAAAATGTATAACTTGATAGTAAAATAAAATTGGTAAAATAATAATGTATCATTACCTATATGTTATACAACATGCAACTCATACAGCCTGTAATATAATATTATGTAAGGCATTCTCGATTTCTGTTTTGTGCCATCATTAAAACATTTTTATTGGATTAAGTATTATTTTTAGGACTATATTATTATAATATTAAAAAATAATAATATTACATAGTATTTAAATTTATAATTCCTGATCGCTTGTTCAGCGCTGTATACACCTTGCAATGTTAGCAATCCGATGGGAAATAAAATAATAAACGATGAAAATTGTTGGCAATGGTGACATAGGTTTGGTATGTATTATACAGAGCAAATCTTTTATCATAAACTTTGAAATTAAAAAAAACTAATATTAGGTATTAGGTTGTCATCCAGCCTAGGGTTTATTTTTTTATTAGCTTGCAATATTTAAATTATCATAGCTCAACCATTACAACAATATGTATACATTTAAAGAAAAAAACAATAAAAAATGCCTAAGATGATCTGTAATAAAACGAAAGAAGAAGTCTTTTCCACCGAAATGTATACAGATTGTTTATTTATGAAATAGCTTGCAACAGAATTTTGGTTAATACCATACAGAGAAATAATCTAAAAATATGGATTTTGTTTGTAAACTTCGTGATTATAGTTGTAAATCCCAGAAATACATGTATATTAAGTTAATTATATAAAGAACTACGACGATTTTATCAAGCTTTTTATATAAAATATTAAAATGTACAATTTTGATTTTTGAGTTTTAATTGTTTTAAGAATTATGTACAAAATTCTATATAGACTATATTATTGAAATAATATTATAATCATATGCATATTGTACATATACAATTAAATTATGAAATATACATTAAATAGTTAATTATACTCGTTAATATATTGGTACAAATGAAAAACAGTCAGATTAGACATTTCATGTTTAATTTATTCACTAAAAAGTTATAAAAGTATAATGATTGTTCAAAATTACGAAGTCGTTTTACTGAGCTCAACTTCAGCACAATGTAACATAATAATATTGCAGTACTACAGTACGTACAAACAATGTTAATAAAATAAATAATAACATTTTTGAGGTTGCACATTATAGTCTCGTTTCTTTAGATTCAAACATGATGCTTGAAATTAGAAAAATGAGAAAATTAACGATTGCGAGATGAACTTTATAAAATGTTAATATTATTACCCGATGTAGTGCGTTACTTAAATTATTCTTAGTGATTACTAATTAAATTTTGTTCTTGCGTTTGCTAAAGGCACACTCGTATAATTGTGTTCAAACTAATAAATATTATGTGTTCATTCAAAACGAATAAGTCCTAGTATAATCTTATTCAAAAATTATTATATTTTATAATTATCTAATACTATTAGTCTATACTACGCATAAATAATTCAAGCAATATAGTAAATGAACAGTTTTTAAAAAGGGGGAAAGTAGGTGACCACTAACCAATCTGCTGCATAGTAGATGTCGTGTGTACCTCGTTATTGAGTAAGTCATTGTAATGTGTGTGTTAAATTTGAATTCAATGAAAAATCCGAAAAGCGATTCTGAACGAAGGTCTGTCAGCATATATTTTATTATACTAAGAATTTTTTGTAATATATTTATATTGCTTCTGTAGTAATTTATTTTACTAAAAGTATTTGGCACTAAATTGATATAATTTTTTCCGAAAATATTAAATGTATTGTATGATTAATATTTAATTATTATTATAGAATATATTTATAAGTTATACCATTGATCTTTTGAGTCAATACCGATTTACTGTTGGATGGTGTGAATAGGTTCATGGTATAAATAGTCGATAGGTAGCATAAGATTTATCTAAATTATTTATCATTGTGTATAATATATATTATATTATAATTATAAATTATGAGGAACCTTCCGTTTTCAAGCTTTTTTTAAAAATGTTTTATTGATTTTTATAGAAAAAAAATCGAGAAATTTTTTAACGTAACACGCTATCTAAGTAGTAGTTTTCCTCTGAAAAATCTATGAATCATAAATATGTTTTTGATGGAAAGGGACACTGAACTTTGACTATAAGCTAGTTAAAAAAATACCAATCACAAATAATTAAGAAATAAAGTCAAAAAATATAATTTTATTGAATTCATTGTTTAATTTATTGTATAATTTACATCATTATACTTAACACCGATCTATGATAAGGAAAATATGAAACGTGATTCATTGTAGTTAATATCGTAGCCACTGCTTGACATTTAATTTTGTTACTTCTCCAGATGTATTTACTGATTTGTTTTTCTGATGACGCTTAATATTGATTTAATTTTTTTTTGTTTTATTGTTATATATTTGTATGACAATAAACAAATCGTTACAAAAATTGGCTTCTCGAAATCTGTCAGAAAAAAATGCAGCCATCTCAAAAATATTTGTGGAATTACGCTCAACTCAGAATCTAAAAGAACTCTATTTACATTAACTATTATAAGATTAAGATATATAACTTATTATACGTATTATAGAGCAAGAAAACAGATTAGTCCCAGAGAAGTTTTGAAAAAGTTATGAATATTGTATAGATAGTCATTAATTGAATATTAAGTATTACGAATTAATAATTAATATAATGGTAAAAAAAGTTCTGTAATTTAAAAAAAAAATGTTGGTCCCTCATCGATTTGTTAGTAATACTTACTTGAACATTTTATAAATACAAAATGATATTGTAAATTCAGAATGTATAATGTAATAAATTCAAAGCTGGTATTTTAATGCTATGAAAATATTTTCGTTGTGTTTGAATCGAATAATATTTATTTAGTTTTTTGACAAAATCACAAATGCTTCACTAAATAAATATTTTAATGCGAGTCTTCAAAATATCAAATGAACCGATGATTTCAATATTCAGCGCATTCATATTAAATGCAAAAGGTTATGTATTATTATCAGAATCCGTTTTGGTTTTTTAAACTTTAATTAAAATGACTAGTTTTTATTATTATTTGTTTATTTATGACCATTTTAATGTTATTAATACTACAATATGTTATGCATGTTACCTTATATATTTTATACACTTTGCATACTATCTAGTTAGGTAGTCAGGTAAGGTTCCTGTTAGTTTAAAATTAAAGCTTTGGCTTGTTAATAAGGAATATATAATTTTGGAAGGAATTCAAAATTATTTAGATTAATTAAATTTACAATTATCGTATGATAATGCTTCAATATTTAAAGTTTACACTTTATAATTAACGTTGTAATACAAAATTTTACCTAAATTATAATCATATACTTATCATTTATCATATTATAAAATAATTACCTATAAGATGATATACATTAATAAATATTTCATAAATAAAAATTAACTATGTATATATTTGAATATTTGAAGTTTGATTTAGCAAATTTAGTAAATTTATTCACATCACAACAATATTAACTATATCAACAATCAACATACACAAACTTAGTTTCAGTATTATCGATTACCTACTTTAATCATACGTAATGTTGTCAATGTTAACATGACCCTCATAAATTGGTATGCAAATTTGGTTTATGATCACTTTAAGTTGGAAAAACGACAAGCACTTTAATAAACCGATCTTCCCTCAGTTTTATGTTTTCTACTCGATGATTCATCATTGCTTTCCAATCAAAAATTATCATCAGGACAATCGAAGCGTGATAAATTCTTAACACCCACTGTTTGTATATGTGATGGTTTTTTTTAAAAATAAATAATAATAATGAAATGTATACAAGCAACAAGAATACATGAATTTCACATTCTGGTTAGTGAAGGTTTCACAATCGATTTCCGTGTTTTCATCTCAAATGTGGTCACATACTATAGTACTATAATATGGGTTTCCTAACTAACATATTCCTACACCAACCATCTAACTTAAATGGCTGTCGGTAAATACATTTCAACAAATCAACATGGAACATTAATTATCCGTTGTACTTATGACATATTAAAAAATATGCACACCTACTTTTTAAATATATAACATTTATAAGCAGACAATTTCATGTTTACAGGCCCACACCCGCACGCTTTACTGGGGAAGACAAGACGGCCAAGAACTGCATTCACTAGTCAGCAGCTTCTAGAGTTGGAAAAACAATTCAGACAAAACAAATATTTATCCAGACCTAAAAGATTCGAGGTGGCTACAAATTTAATGCTCACTGAAACTCAAGTAAGAATATTTAAATAATTATCACTACTATAGGTAAAACCATAAGTAGGCAATCATATTGTTGAATGTTTAGTTCGTAATTAAAAATATATGAATCATTGAAAATGTATTTTTTCCACCATTTATCGGTAATTTTTAAGCTTTTGAAATATCAATAAAAACGCATTAAAATAATCTATATGAGAATATATACTTTTATAAATGGGTACCTACATTATAATTTTGAATCGACACTTTTTAGAAAAAAATTTAAATACATTTGTCTTTATAAATGTTTTTACACTGATTGTCTGTTTATAGTTGAACTTACGCACTTTGTTTTAATACATAAATTTAGGTTTCACCATATTTTATGAAAAACAACAAACTAACACTTTATTACATATAGGAACTAAAGTTTAACACTAAAATAAAACAAACTAAATGAGTTATTTCTTATTATTTACTATTTGTTTAAAGTATAAATTGTAAATTCACTAATATGGATATACAAATTACATAATAGATCATTAAACAATGAATAATAACAGTAATAATAATAATTTAGTTGTAAACGCATAGCGTGCGTTGTAGGGGCTTATAATTAACCCATTTATTGCAGAGCCACTGGGATTTTAGACTCGAGTATAGGTACACGGTGAAGAATAATACCTATTATTTAGGAATAAAACAACGATGATTTCATTTTTTGTTTTAGTTTTTTTTTGATATCAGTTTAACCTTCTTCTGAAAAATTTGAAATCAAACCATTTTTTTATACATAAGTATACATGTTTGTATATATATGTAAAATTCAGCCTATAAAGCTATGCATTTTAAATTAACGATTTTCATAGTAAACTTTCTTTAAGTCATGTAAATATGGTTTTAATATTTTGAATTCAAAACACTTTAATATTTTAATCTTATTAGTTATTACATATAGTTATTACCTACCTACACACATTCTAATTGATATTTATATCATAGCATGATCAAAAATCTTTACTAAATATGTTTTTTTTTCATTTCCTTATTTGAAAATTTAAATATAGTATCTTGGAATAGGTACTTTAGATATAAGTACGTTTATGCTCCAAGGTATATTAATAAATAAAAATTTTTCCGAAATTTTTCCGAAATTTGAAAGTATTTGAGTTATTTTATTATAAAGGTTGTTTTGGATAAAACGTATAAGAAAGTATCGAACTCCATAATCACTCATTAATGCAAACTAAAATGACATGAACACTCACTTATTCCACTGTAAATCTAAAAAAAAGTTAGCATGTTTACCGTGACTTTTATTCATTTTATAAAATAACTTCAACGTCAATAAATTATTAATAATTTATGTATTATACTATCATTAATAATTTCACAGTTTTCTCATACTATATAATATTTATATCAATATAATATTATATCATAAGTTATTTTACCTAATAATTATCACTTGATGTTTATGGTTTGAAGTTTAAACTTATAATATCTTCAATTTGATTAAATGTGGCAACAAAAAAATGCATCATTTATTCATTTCAGACTAGTTATATTTAATTAGGTTTATGCATAAAACAGAAACTTAGCACGTTCGTAGAACTTTCTTCATCTTATACTTGTATTTTTATAATTATATACACATCTAAATATTTATGGGTACCTCCTATATGTACACAGTGCGTACATACATTCGCACTACGGAGTCCCCTTTCAGACATAATCCTTATTCTGCTAAATTTCCTGAAATGTATATATTATACAAATGCTAATTGAAGCAGCAGTTAGGTGTAGAGACTATAGAGATACGTTGGGCGTTATATACTTTCACCGCGCTCCTCCGCGGCTTCAGAAAGTACCAACCTATTCATCCGTGTACAGTGTACGTATAAAAATATTATAAACCATCGACAGATATGAGGTAATTAAGAGAGAAGATTTAAGCTATAATATCTCAGTAGCTCATGCGGTCACACACATCATGACCTTTAAGTAAATATAATTTATAAAAACGTGTATAAATGTATTGTGTATAATTTAGTTGTTCGTATAACACAATAAGTGTTTGTTATTTATTAATAGATAAATCATCCTTCTCATTAATACCTATAGGTAGCTTATTAAGTAGTAAATAGTTAGAAGGTACTTTTCGATAGCTGTAGCCTGTAGGTAAGCCCAGGACCACGTCACCCATCAAAATAAGTTATCATAATTCATAGTTGAGAAAACATATCATTTTGGCAAAAAATAAACCTATAATATTTACCTGGATTATTATCGATTAGATGTACAGTTAGTAAAATTATTAAACATAATTATAAATCAAAACTTAATTATTTTCTAAGCTTTTCATCGCATGTCTTTAAATATTAAGAATAACATGGTTCTATGCTCTAAAAACTCATTCAAATATTCTTGTATACATGTATAAATACTGGTGTCTATCCACCTCCATTCCTCTATTGGTTTTAAATTTAGGAAAAGGTATTTTGCATTATTGAAAATCAAAATGGTTTATTTCACAAATTTAACGGTTCACAAAACATCGATTTGAATTTGATTAGGTCTTAGTAGTAAAAATCAGACTATATAAAAAAATAACGATAATATATTCATAAAATATTTTGTTACACAATGTAGGTATTCTTCAAAACGAACATTTTTATGGTGTTGCAAATAATATTGTGTATTTACTTATTCAAGGTGAATAAAAACTTATCTATTTTATGGTGTATGTATGGTCTCAGTAAAAACATGTAATTATGAAACTTCTTACTGAATCTCATCTACTTACTTGAATACTTAAAATGTGTATTATTATGAAGGATAATAGAACCATACGACTAATATATGTATTATTTGAAACTTATAAAAAGTTATTATTTTATAAATTAATGGAAACAATTTTTTAATTTATATTAAATATTATGACTTAGTCTCCGCGTGTCCGGGTAAACGGGGCACACTTAATTACTCATTAGATTTGCCTGTAAATATTTTTCAATTCTATTTGAGGGACATTAATTTAAATTTTAAACTAATGGATTATAAACAGAATTTAAAAAAATATTTACAGGATACTAAGTGATGAAGTGTACCCTGTTTTCGTAGACACGTGGCATAACTAAGTCATAATATCTATTATAAATTAAACACCGTGATACAATAAACTTACTATTATTAAAGTAGGTAATACATGATTTACTATTTAAGAAATACTACATTATTTTATTCTTACACATTATGAAACTATATAATTTATTATAAAAACATGTAGTTTCAGAAAAGACCTACCTTATTAGTAATTTAATACTAAGCTAATTATTTATTTTAAATATTAATTTTTATTCTGTTCGACTGTATTTCTGTACTAACGAAAATAACTTGATTACCCATCAGCATAATTACAGATAATAGTTTAATCCTAATATTTCATATTTTAGGTAAAAATTTGGTTTCAAAACCGCCGGATGAAATGGAAACGCAGTAAAAAAGCTCAGCAAGAAGCTAAAATATCTTCGAGGGATGATACGGCGTTGGAAAAACGAGGAACCGTAAATATTCGAACATGCGGTACAGGGAGTAATGATCTACAAAGTAACTCCAACATTAGATCTCCTGAAGAATCCCGCATAAAAATAGACTGCCCGACATCTTCCGCTGCCACAACCATTCAAACTCAATCTCATCACAATTCTACTGCTCAACTAAGCCATAATTATCACACTATAAACAATATTCGATCGCACGAGCAAGACGGAAATTGCGAGTCATTATACAGACCGTACGTATCATAACAGACTTTTGAGTAAATTTATTTTGTGTATAAAGTTCCGATCAAATAATAACAACATTGGTCAGTTTGTATTATAGACATTATTATCTGGTTTTAATTATTTTATAACATAATTATAAGATGATATATTGATATCGATGTACATTACACATACTATTATATTGTTTTTTATATGTCATAATATTGTACTATTATATGAAATAATAATTTAATATCATGATTATTTATTAACAAGACAATTAATAAGTAATGTATTCAACTAAACACATTTCTAAGCGTTTAGAAATTATTTGGAAAGCATTATATTAAATAAAACAAGTATAACTACCCAAATATTTTTAATTTTATGTAATGAATATTAATCTGGGTTTCCAGTAACTGGGTTTCCAGTAAAATATTTGTTTAAAATAATCGTCTGAACTAGTATATTATTATGATTCATGGTTCATAATATGATAAACACATCGTGCATTGTGCATACTTGTATTTTAGTAAAATATTGTTATTTACCGAGTATATTTACTTTTACATACATTTAATGTTCTTTAACGATATTGTAAAATATTTATTTTAGTTTTACGAGAGAGATAATTGTATGTTTTTGTGTGACTGTTTTTATTCGTACTTACTACCTACTAATTTAATATTATTATGAAATATTTTAATAATAGATAATATGAAACATATTTAATGAATAAATGATAGTACTCAATCAAAATCTGGAAATTGTATAAGTGCACGCTTTATTCATGTGAATTTTAAATAACTTCATGATATGTGAATGTTTAATAAAAATAAAATTACATATTATATAAAACAAAATGACTTAAATTTCTCATCAAAATCTGATGTAGGTACCTAACTGTAATAGATCCTATTGCAATATTAATTTATTGTTTACTCGTTTGCTTTAAATGACCTATGCCTTAGACTAAACCCGAATAGATTATTACAATTATCCGTGTGATTGAATCAATAGGTAGCTATTATAAATAATAGCTATAAATCTTCATAAAATGTATTTAGAATTCGCATTATGCATGTTGAATGGGTAAAATACTTTATCTTGTCGGAAGACTACATAATATGTTATGTGGGTCTCCATTCTTTCAATACATCATAATTGAGTGGGCATTATTGGTAATTTATTTTTAATAACTTTACTACAGTCGAATTGTATTAAAATGCAATATCTATTAATAGAGTGATTAGGTGTGGCTCAACTGAAGTTCGATTAGAGGAATGACCAATATAGATTTAATACAATTATACTTTGATACCTACCAGCTTTTTATACCTAGTTTTTTTACCTTGATCGACTTCTTGAATTTTAATTTTTAATTTTATTGAAATAAACCTCTATTCGAAAATGTTCAGTTATAGATACAATTATTATAATTGTAAATGTAGATACTTATTATAAGTATTTACATAAAAAGGCGATCTATCTCACAAAGGGGAAGGTTAACATATCGCCCGCTTAAATACACCAATGGGTGTTAAGATGTTTTAATCAAATGTGATCACAGTGACTTGAACTAATCAGTTACAGTTTTATACTTTTATAAGGCACATCTTTCTACATAAATGTACATCAATGTACATAATATATAGTTTATAATAGTAGGTATAGTAATTATTATAGGGTTAGTATAATATGTTTATAAATTTTTCATATTTTTTCTTTTACTCATGTAAATTGCAAAACAATTGTCATAAATTCGCTTTGTATGATATAGAATCAGATGCATTCAATTTCACTTTGTATATTTATGAATTAATAGGAAAAATAAATTTACAACACAAAAAAAAAAAGTGAACAAGCTACTACTTCAACGAAAAAAAAATTTTAAATAAAAAAAAAAACGAATTTATTGATAAATTGATAAATTTCAATGTAGGTACACACAAAAATTCCGTAGAATTTTTCATCATACAAAAATTTGCTATCTAACAACTGAAGCAAGTTGTTGTTGGAAAACCTCAAAAACATTCTCGTAATTCAAATCAATTTAGATTGTGTATAACAGCTAACCAAAAATAATACTCAAATAAATTGAATTTTTGTTTTCAACTAAATTAAAACATGTAGCCAACTTTTGTTGACGGGAACCAGAATAATACTATATTTTTCAATGCATTTTATGTTATGTTTGATTGTTTTATGGACATATTTTGATTTTGTTGTGCATTTTATGGTATTTTTAGTTCATTAACATCATAACCCTAATAATAAATTTAAATTTATTGAATGTATGATATACCTATTAATATATTAAGCGTGTCTTGAGAATTTGAGAATTTTATATTGAGTTTAATATAGTTACATTTAAATGAGGAGTGTTTACTAGTTTCACCATAATATATAATATGTAATATCTACAGTTATACATCATACAATAAGCACCTACCTAACATTACCAAAGGTACTATACTATGCAATACAAACACCTAACTACAATTATGGTACAGATATTGCGAAATCACTGTTCAATTAATTTAACTAGGTAGATTATTATAGTCCAGTAAGCCAGAGTTTAATAATTTGAATAAATTATATTTTATGTAATATAGATGTAGGTATACGCAACTACCACTGGGCATGTATAACCGTTAAAAAGTGTAACAATATATTAATAAATAGTAATAATATAAATTGTAATACAAATACAGAATTATTTCGTCTTTATTAACCTCATATATTTTAATAAACAAAAATCAAATTTTCATTAAAAGAAAAATTACGCTATTGATACGTCCATGTATGCATTAAACTGGCTTACGGAACACCAACAATGTGAAAATTATAATATGAGGTGAATTCAATTACTAAAATTGTGTTATTAATAACATATTTTACAAGATCAAAATATGTTCTCGTTAATTACAGTATAAACGCATTAATTCAATAAGTTAAATGTGTGACGTTGATCCTAAATACATACGAACGATGGCCCCGTTAAAGAAAACAAATGAGCTAGGGCGAGTTTACAATTTCCTTCAGAGATTAAAAAGTGGTTTTATGTTAGGCGGAGCAAGCAAGCAGCGGTCCACCAACGTGCCAATGTGAACAGGCGGCGTTTAGGGAGGAGGAGAGTTTTCGCCGCAGCTCTAATTAGCTCCAGATTAAAGTAATGTCGAGGGAGCTATTAGAGACATTTAGCTGTTAATTAAAACTGTTTTCCAGCCGGTCCAACTGCGGGCAAACGTGGTAGACACAGGGGAAAACGCTCGTAAAAACTTGTGATTAATGATCAACGAGAGAGGAATAAAACTATATTCTACTGGCTGGCCATTTGATGAAAACGACTATGGTATTGCTCTTCTTCTTCATTTTCACCCTCGTATAGTTTACATACACTACTCTAATTGAAAAAAACCCAAAAAGTATATTATTCAAATTCGATTTTTTCCCCTATAGGTAGGTATAGGTGTACCTATACTAATTTTACAGACAAATTTAAACAGACACGTGCTTTTACATTGTTTATAACTGTTAACATAACTTGTTTATAATTTTTTCGATTTTATGTAAGAATTTATTATTTTCATTTTTATAGATTAGTATTAAATGGTAAAAAAGAAATAAAAATCGATTCATGATGAGACCTAAAAAACGGAAAAATAATTACTGTCTTGTGGGTATATGTAATATGTTGTATGTAGTATATGTATGATGTTGTCTTAAATATAATTATTCAGTACTTATATAAATACTAACCACGAATACAAATGCCACTCAGAAAGTCATTATAAAATAATAATAATAAATATTTATTATTAATATTATATTAATTAATCATTATTTAAGTAGGTATATTAAAATATTATGTCACATATTCGTTTATATTTTATTACTAATTCAAAATAACTTATAACTTATAAATTATCACTATACAGTACCATCAATAGTTGTTGCTTAATTACTAAATTATTTAGAAAAACGGTTTTGTGAAAGAAAGAATCATAAAAGGCTACCATTTGATTTGTAGACAGTTTATATATATATATGTATATTATATCCTTATGAATAAAACCAAATTTTCACTAAACAAAAAAAGAACTTGTATAGGGTGCGATAATGTTTTTATTTTTTCGATATTACGTTTAGCGTATATTATTAGTGTATACGTTATTGTGTAAATTCGAATCGTTTAGTTCTTATCCGTGTGGAATGGATTTGAGTAGGAAATGTATGGACGCGCATCTTAGTGATATTCATAGGATTGTGAAAAAAAAATTAAATAATTTTAGATTTAAATGTTGTAATATAATTCAATTACATATTTTAGGCATTTAAGTGACACATAATTATACTTAAAGTTACTTCATAATTTTAAATGTAATTTGTGACACGAAATGCTAATAATGGAATTGTTGACTGAAGGTCTGAATAAATTCCAACAATAATTCTTATTTATTTATTTCTATAGGTACAATAGTACAATACATGAGGAGGGGGGAATGAAATAAGGAAATATGGTCTCGTAACAACTTATGAGGAACATTATAAAACACTTTCAACATTTTTGACTGAGCAAAAAAGTATTTATTGACAATAATTATTAAAAAAACTAAATAATCAAAAATTTACCATGCTTCTAAATAGTTTAAAAATAATCAACATATTTTGAAAATATTATCATAGATAGAATGTGGTTAAAAAATTCTTGGACTACTGTATGACTGAGTACATTAATAAGAAACTCAATTGAATATTTGAAATAAAATTGCTTCAAATTTGCAAATCAACAATTTAAAATTGTATGTATTATTTTTTTAACACACATAACAGCACAATTTTTATCAAGCTTAATGTGGTCAATACTAAGCCTGTAAAATCGAGAAGAAACATATAAGTAATTAAACGGGAACCAATTCGGATTACCTTAATAACGTATTTTTCAAACGGGAATCAATTCGACATATGGATTTGGGGCTCGGGAATCAATTCAGTTTTAGCCGAATAAAAAGGTACCCATCAGGTAATTTAAAAGCTTACAGCTAACATTTTTTTTTTTTAGTTTTTTTGTAACTAAAATCTAATGTAATTACTCCTGTGTGTATAATAACCGTAAAATATAAAATAAATTATATTTATGATGATAAACCTACAAAACTGAAGAGATTTATGTATAGTACATACTTAAACTTTAAAGGCTAAGTGTTTGGTACTCGTATCGCTTCACTCATCTTGGTTCAAACCAGTGTTGTTTTATTATTTTACATTTTAAGACTATGGTAAATTGCAAATTTCGTAAAGAAAAAAATTAGAAATAACTTCACATTTTCTATCGTTTTATTGCTTGCTAAATAAAGGTTAAATATTGTTTAAAAAATATGTTTTCATACAAACATTATAGGTATAATAGAGTAATTAATCGGTACTAATTTCAGGTTTTTGATTAATTCAAAAAATTTAAAATCAATATTAAGTTAGAAGTATTCCATTAAAAAACTAGAGTAAGGAACATTTTAATTTGGTGTAAATTTCAGTTTAGTAATTATCACTTGTCAGCATAGTTCTTATATAGTCATATCTGGACACCCATAATTTTTTTCTTGTGTAGAGTAGAAAGAGTTAAAACAAAATACGGACTGACGGACAAATTATTTAACCCGACACATGAGTAAAGTGTGCAAAGGAGTTCAGTTACCCATAAGTAACATAAACAATTTAAGAAATTATGTGTGCGTAAAACAGTTGTCCAATTACAATTTAATTTATTGCATT